ATAAGAACAGCGGGTGGTCAATTGCTGCTCCCTACTGAAAGATGCACAGCAAGAATCAGCATAGGAGATTCTTCTTTCGTCGCGACTTTCATTGTTCTCCCAGAGTGCCGCAAAGATTTAATTATAGGAATGGACTTTCTCAGGGAGCATGGCGCAATAATCAACACCCCGGACCGCGTGGCTTCATTTTACGAGAGTGCTCGTCTGACTGATCCTACATCGCCAGAGCACAAATCCTTTCGTCTCAAAGACCACAATATAGTCGTGCCGCCTTGATCATGTATCCTCGTTTCAGTAGCATGTGACGTACTTTTCGACGGTGAAGGAGTCGCTGACCAACTAACCTCGCTGCTTTTCACACACGGGATTTCCGTAGCACGAGGAATAGTCAATGTCACCGACGGCCGAACGAACTTGTTGTTGACCAATTTCACCTCCGAGCGACGGCACCTTCCAAAAGGCAGAACATTGGCACATTTCGACGAGATCGCAGGTGTTTGTGACTGCTTTTCAGCACTCGAAGCAACACCTGCACAAGACCCACATGACCTAGCACCTAACCTTGACGTCAGCCCTACTTTAACTCAGCAACAACGGGAACGCCTGCTTGTGCTGCTAGACGAGTTCCACGACTGTTTTGCGTCGACCTCGAAAGTTGGCCAGACGTCCTTGACCAAGCACCAAATCATCACAGAGGACATGGCTAGACCAATCCATCAAAATCCGTACCGTGTGGCTTCAAAAGAATGAGAAGCCATAGAACAGCAGGTAACAAAAATGCTTGAAGACGACGTCATTCAACTGTCGAAAAGCCCCTGGGCATCACCTGTTGTTCTAGTGAAGAAGAAGGACGGCAGCCTGCGTTTCTGTGTGGACTATCGAAAGCTAAATCAGGTTACAAAAAAAGACGTGTACCCACTTCCCCGCATAGATGATTCGATTGACAGGCTTCGAAACGCACGTTACTTCTCTTACATGGACTTAAATAGCGGATATTGGCAAATTGAAGTAGACTCCAGGGATCGTGAAGAAAACGCTTTCGTGACGCCAGATGGACTGTAGGAATTTACGGTTTTACCATTTGGCTTGTGCTCCGCGCCTGCTACTTTCCAGCGTCTCATGGATATCGTTCTTTCTGGGCTTAAATGGAGAACCTGCCTAGTATACCTTGACGACGTCATTGTGTTTTCTACAACGTTTGACGAACACCTTGAACGATTGCAAATGGTCTTGCAGGCCATACGGGCCGCAGGCCTGACGCTCAAGCCGGAGAAATGTCACTTCTGCTTTGAGGAACTGCAGTTTCTTGGCCATGTCGTCAGTTACGCAGGAGTTCGTCCAGACCCCGAAAAAGTTGCCGCCGTCGCACAGTTTCCAACACCATCAGATAAAAAGGGAATGAGGCGTTTTCTGGGTCTCTGTGCATATTATCGGCGGTTTATTCCAGATTTTGTGCGCATTGCGTCATCTTTAACTCGTCTCACGAGGGATGACATTGCATTTGTTTGGGGGGACGAACAGGAAGCTGCTTTCAATGACTTGCGGCAACGTCTACAGACGACCCCCGTGCTTGCCCATTTTGATGAGACAGCCCCTACAGTGCTTCATACTGACGCCAGCAATGTTGGCTTCGGAGCTGTGCTTGTGCAGCGCCAGGACGACGAGGAAAGACTGATCGCTTACGCAAGCAGAACTCTGTCACGCACAGAAGCAAATTACTCTACCACTGAAAAGGAATGCCTCGCCGTGGTGTGGGCAGTTATGAAATTTCGCCCATACTTGTACGGCCGCCCATTCAAGGTTATCAGTGACCACCATTCGTTGTGTTGGCCAACAAGTCTGAAAGATCCTTCCGGGCGATTGGCACGCTGGAGCCTTAGACTACAGGAGTTTGATATAACGATGGTGTATAAGTCGGGAAAACGACACACGGACGCTGACTGCCTATCTCGATCACCAATAGAGTCGGCTGCTGCTTTTGATGAACAGACAGCGTTCCTCGGAATCTTCGACACGTCAACCATCGCAGATCACCAGCATGACGATCCTGAGCTACTTGGCTTGATTAATTATTTAGAAGGACGAAGCCAGAATGCGCCCAAAGCCTTTACAAGAGGACTATCGTCGTTCTGTCTGCGAAACAATGTCCTTTACAAAATTAACTTCTCGTCAGACGGGTCCACCTACCTGCTTGTCGTCCCTACCACTCTTCGTTCTGAGGTGTTGCAAGCGTGCCACAACGAGGTAACATCTGGACATTTAGGCTACACGCGCACACTGTGCAGAGTTCGAGGGAGATATTACTGGCCTAGACTCACCGCTGCCGTGAAGCATCATGTTCGGACCTGCCTCGATTGTCAGCGGCGCAAGTCACCTCCAACGAAACGAGCCGGTTCGCTACACCTTGTCCAGATCCTGACGCCATTTGACCAGATCTGAATGGACCTTTTGGGCCCACTTCCCACCTCTAGTGTTGGTAACCGCTGGGTTATAGTGGCGACCAACTACCTTGCTCGCTACGCCGAGACAAAAGCCATCCAGAGAGGCACAGCAGAGGAGGTGGCCCGGTTCTTCATAGAGAACATTGTGCTGAGACACGGTGCGCCATCGATCGTTGTAACAGATCGCGGAACCGCATTCACGGCCGCGCTTTTAGATCATGTGTTGGTGCTCAGCGGTACTATTTATCGCAAGTCGACAGCTTACCATCCACAAACCAACGGGTTGACCGAGCGACTTAACAAAACTCTGGAAGACATGCTTTCAATGTATGTGGACATCGATCACAAAAACTGGGACAAGATTCTCCCTTACATAACGTTCGCATACAATACTGCGAAACAAGAAACCATACGGATGACCCCATTCAGCCTTGTTCATGACTGAAAAGTAAGAACGATGTTGAACGCAATGTTGCCACACGAATGCGATGACAACGAAATGAGTGCTGACGCGTTTACTCAAGGCGCAGAGGAAGCCAGGTAGCTCGCACGTCTGCGAATATACCAACAGCAAGAGTACGACGCAGGCCGCTATAACCTACGTCATACACCTGTAACGTACGAAACCGGGGACAGGGTATGGGTGTGGACGCCTGTACGAAGACGGGGACTATCCAAAAAGTTGCTCAGAAGGTACTTCGGACCTTATCGAGTGCTGCGACGACTAAGTGACGTTACCTATGAAGTCGTCCCGGATAACCCGAACTGTTCAAGGCGCCGCCAGCACCGACCTGAGCTTGTGCACGCAGTGCGCATTAAGCCATACGTCAGCGAGTGACTCTGCGAGGCACCGTCGCTTCTACAAAGTGACTTCATGCTCGAATCAATGGCTCAGCTATAGCATCGGGGCGATGCTCTTTTAAGGGGAGGCAAATGCCGCGCCCGAAACAAAGAACGAAGACGATGTGCGCACTAACAGCCTCGTGAAAAGGGAGACTGAAGAAGACAACGTGCTTTTGTTTTGCTCGCCTGCTCTTGGCTCCTGCATATAAACACACGCCGTCGGTCCTCGGACTCAACGTCTCAATGCACTGCTTACGTTGAACCGCGACAATATTTTTATCATGGACCCTCACCAACTTGTCCAATCTGCTTGTCTCCTTCAGTTGTACAATCTTTGAGAAATTCTTGTTGAAGGTTCAAAATTTTGCACACCAGGGTGTCATTACTGCTCGTTGCAATGCATAGGCCAAAGTGAAGAAATAAATGCATTTCACACGACACCTTCATATTATGCCCTCTAGCCAAACATTGCCACCAGAAAATAAAGAGGGGCTGTATGTTTGGAAAAGGTCTATTGACCATATCAAAATGCCTGCAAAGTGCAATTGAGCTTTGGATGTGAAACAAGCAGCTTGTTACATCATAGAAACTTGAGGTTGTGGTGGCATCATGTCGTAAATTGCTCCATTGCACATCCGTTGGACCATCCTAGTGGTTGGACTGTATATTGATGCTATTGCTACATGGAAACTGCCTGCATAATACAAATGTGCACTTCTCATTAATGTTTTGTTGTGTCATGTGGCTACTGTGACTGATATAAACCTTTAGTTATGTGTATAAAGGCATGCTATGCTTGTGTTCACTGTGAACGTGTCAGAAACTTGAGAAATCGAGACTTTTTGCTGTAAATGCTGGGTCACCAGTGAGGCTAAGCTATGTATCAGCACCCCTTCAACAGATGCTCAACTTGGCATACCTGAGTCGGAAAAGTAGATATAAATGTGAATACTGAAATACTCATACAAAGTAAATTGCTTTGTTTGTGCTAACTGAAGGGTGGATGCGTATGGCTGGATCTAGTGTAGGATTCTGAGATCAAATCTTGGGGAGGTTGTAGCCAAACGCTAAAACACCCATGTGCTTCACGCTACACGTATGAAAAATGTGCAACCACTGCAACATGGGAAGGAATTTAAAAAAAAATGCTTTGGCATCTTATGGCTAAGCTAAGGCATTTTGTAGCTTAGTACAAGAGCTGCTACGGTGGCTGCGTACTAATCGGGTCAGAATGTAATAAATGCATGTTTACTTTGTTGTGTGTGCATATCAACGAACTTCAAGTTGTCAAAATTGCATGGCGTACAGTGTCTGGTAACAGCCATTTTGTTGCTTTGAGATATTAATTCTTAGAATCAGTCGGCCAGTCTGCAGAAAAACATTTAATGGTCAGCCTACGAGCATAGTTAGCATGTCCTGGCGCATGCACCCTTCCCTTAAAGTAAAAGCCACGAAACATCTCTCTCTCTCTCTCTTTTTCTCTCTCAGAGGCATTGCATTTGGCAAAACTGTTTGTCCTGGCCCGTACCAAAACAGCAGAGGGTAGCACAGGAAAATGAAAGAAGTAGATCGGGTGCCTGAAGAATATTTCTGAAATTCTAGTGCTTTTAGCATTGACCAACATGTTTAGTATACTCGGTGTTCTTGTTATGCAATTATTTGTCCCTTGGTTCTGGGCTTTAATTCATGAAATCTTGTGTGTCACCTTACTTTCAGAGCGGAGGATCATCTCCATCAGGCCAGGAGCAAGCCTTGTCTGACTCCGGTGAGTTTTTTATAGTATAATAGTAATTGTTAGGTTTCTATGTTCCAAAACCACAATATTATTATGAGAGATAATACAGTAGAGAGCTATATAAATTTTGACCTGGTGTTTTTTAACATGCACCTAAGTCTAACTGCATGGGCTTCTGATATTTTGCCTCCCCAGAAATGCAGTCATCACAGCTATTGTGACCTGCGGGTCAGTAGTCGAGCACCATAACTACTAGGTGATCAGGGGAAGTTGTTTTTAGAGTAAAAATATGGAAAGTAGCATTGGACAAGGGGGGGGGGGGGGGGAATTGCATAACACCAGCTTGTGAGGCTAAAAAAAGGGGCTAGCTGGTATCACTTCATTATCAAAGCATAATAATTCACACTATACTTTGAAGAATGCCCATTTTGTTATTGGCAACCATTATGAATTTACTTTTTTGTCTATTTCATTTTTCATCTTGCTTGGGTGAGTGTCTGATTATGCCTCTGCACACTCAGAGACAAAAACAGTGCATGTTTTTTTGTTGCTGTGGCCCTAGTCAATACTTTGTAGCACACTTTGATCATGGCGGCACCATTATCTGCTTTGAAGAATTAGTACAATAGAACTTCACTTCTTGCCTATTAGTATGCCTATTATGTCTCTTATGTTACGTTTTATGTTTTTATGTCTCTAGCACTGACATAGCAGTATCATTGTCTTATGTTTATGTGTGTCTTTCTAGGTATTATATAAAAAAATTGAACAGCAGTTATGTTGAATACCCTGAAAGTGGGCATTATGATCAGTGAAAATGATGATAATGCCTGCTATGTGCTGTTATCCTTACAAGAAACAGTGAAATTGTCTGTTGTGTCTTACCGGCACTTGGTTAGGTGACTAAACAGCCACTCGAGGTAAGCAAATTGTGGGAAACACATGCTTTCGTGTAGTGTACACAAATTTGGAAACCCTCATCAGTATCATCAGGTTCATCAAACTTCAGTAAGATAAGCAGGTGTTCTACTTACTTCGTTTATAAAAAGTCTTTTTTATGTGTTTAAGCTAGTTTACTGTGACAGTAGTGCATCTCGTAGCAAACTTTAGGAATAGCTATCTTGAAACTGGTGTCATAGTCAAGATGTCTTCAGATGGATAAATGAGTTTGAATAATTTAAATGGTGCTCGAAATTTATCAACCATAATTTATATTGTAATATACACCTCAGTGTAATTAGCTTAAAATGTGATTAGCAAACTGCTGAGGAATATGATTACTTAAATTGTGGTTTACTGTGCAAATAATGCCCGCCCCTCAAAGTAGTCATATGATAAGTTGGCTATCACCACATTCTACTGTACAATTTCATAAATTAAGCTAACAGTTAAAAACAGATATATATGAAGGCATAATACTTAATTTTGTCATATGAGAATGTGTGCTTCATAGGCTGAAAAATTGGTATGGGAGAGGCAACTTGCCTGCAATGAAATAAATATCAATTTGGCATTTACTGTCTTATAAAATGTATAAAAATGATGGTTGTCACAGTCCTAATGAAGCAGCAATTAACAAAATTGAATGTTTTTGTTTTATGCGAGGGCCAGTAATACAGTGGTGACTTCCATGTGCACTGCATCACTATTTTATTGCTGTGCCCCATCAGTGCAGTGCAAGTAAATTGTTTAATGGATGTGTGCATTGATTTGTCAAGGCAAAGCCTTATAATGTCTGGTATGTTGAAAAGTTTGGAATCATAAGGTGATGGCATGAAAAAAATAGTGCCAAATTTTTTATGATAAATACAAATGTAATAGGGCTGAATGATTAGGAGTACAAATAAAGCGAATTTATATTGAATCAATGTACATTAAAATGAACCAAGAATGATTTGAGGTTGAACTAAGTGACTTGGGTGTAATCCTAGAGGAAACTGAGTAGAGTGATCAACACTCATAGCAGCGAACCAAGAGTGGATCCGCATAAATTCAAGAGAATCAATGAATGAAGAGGGATTCAAATGAATTAAGATAGTCTTGTGGAGCGTAAGCTTTTGTCTATGATCTCCTCAAGGGAGCTGGTGACAGTTTAGGTTTCACTGTCGAGCTGATATAGGCTTTTGGCCACAAGTTTCTTCCTGTTAATCTTTAAATTTTGATTTTTTACCCTAGACATGATGTTGTGTGGATTATGGTGTTGTGTAGAGGAACTGAAAAGGGAATGAATGTAAAGCCATTTAGGCAGCCTTGCCAAGTGAACTTTCTGTTTAGTTATTGCCTTCACTTTTACTTCGCAGTGTTGGCCCAGCATGCGATCTGTGAGACTCGGGATATTGCCTGAAGATGTTTCGTACTCAATAATGTTCAATCAGTGAGCACTTGTCTTGTTTGGCTACAGGCTGCCCTGGTATAGCTCTGCCTGTTGAGTGGTAGCACCGTGCACATTTACTTGAGAATCATGTGTTAGGGGGCTTATTTGGGCAGCTTGTTCAGTCTCAATGCACAGTGCAGTTTTCCTGTTCTTGTCTTCCTCCACTGTAGTGCAGGTTTTTTCGTTGACTTCTCCCTGCATGTTTCATTTATGCACCACTATGCTCTTTTCTTTGTCACAATGCTTGTGTAATCATCATCATCATCAGCCTGACTGTGTCCACTGCAGGACATAGGCCTCTCCCATGTTCCGCCAGTTATCCCGGTCCTGTGCTTGCTGCTGCCAATTTATACCTGCAAACTTCTTAATCTCATCTGCCCACCTAACCTTCTGTCGCCCCCTTACCCGCTTCCCTTCTCTGGGAATCCAGTTAGTTACCCTTAATGACCAGCGGTTATCCTGTCTACGCGCTACATGCCCTGCCCATGTCCATTTCCTCTTTTTTTTATTTCAACTATGATATCCTTAACCCCCGTTTGTCCCCTAATTCACTCTGCTCTCTTCTTGTCTCTTAAGGTTACACCTACCATTTTTCTTTCCCTTGCTCGCTGCGTCGTCCTCAATTTAAGCTGAACCCTCTTTGTAAGTCTCCAGGTTTCTGCTCCGTAGCTAAGTACCGGCAAGATACAGCTGTTATATACCTTCCTCTTGAGGGATAGTGGCAATCTACCTGTCATAATTTGAGAGTGCTTGCCAAATGTGCTCTACCCCATTCTTATTCTTCTAGTTACTTCAATCTCGTGGTTCGGCTCCGCGGTTATTACCTGCCCTAAGTAGACATAGTCTTTTACAACTTGAAGTGCACTATTACCTATCTCGAAGCGCTGCTCCTTTCCGAGGTTGTTGTACATTACTTTCGTTTTCTGCAGATTCATTTTAAGACCCACCTTTCTGCTCTCCTTGTCTAACTCCGTAATCATGAGTTGCAATTCGTCCCCTGAGTTAATCAGCAATGCAATGTCATCGGCGAAGCGCAGGTTACTAAGGTACTCTCCATTTTTTTATTTACAAGTACTGCTGTCCCATGCCTGGGACATTGCAGGAGCGGGTACAGAAAAATCAACAAAAGCACAGAAACAAACAATAGTGCGCACAAATTTATGTGACTAGCACATAAAATTTTTCCCGAACTCTACAGTGTTTAGTCTACACAATGCACCATCAAGCTTGTTCCAAACTTCCACCACACGCTGAAAAAAAGAGAATTTGAAACAATCCAAACGAGACCGGAAGGGTACAAGGTTCAAAGCGTCTGTACTACGTGTTGTACGCGCTGGTATATCAGCGAAAGATAAGGGCGCGTGAACGCGGGTCATTTTGTGTACAATCTTGTGCACAACCATTAACCATTTACCCTTATCCCTAACTGTTCCCATTCTGGGCTTCTGAAAACCTCCTGTAAGCACGCCGTAAATAGCATTGGGGAGATGGTGTCCCCCTGCCTTGCACCCTTCTTGATTGGTATTCTGTTGCTTTCTTTATGAAGCGCTATGGTAGCAGTTGATCCCCTGTAGATTTCTTCCAGGATGTTTATATATACTTCATCGACGCCCTGATTCCGCAGTGTCTGCATGACGGCTGAATCTACTGAATCAAACGCCTTCTCGTAATCTATGAAGGCTATGTATAGTGGTTGGTTATATTCTGAGCATTTCTCTATTACCTGATTGATAGTATGAATGTGGTCGATTGTTGAGTAGCCTGTTCGAAATCCTGCTTGTTCCTTTGGTTGATCGAATTCTAATGTTTTCTTTACTGCGTTAGCAATTACCTTTGTAAATAGCTTGTATACTACAGAGAGCAAGCTAATCGGCCTGTAATTCTACAAGTTTTTGTCATCTCCTTTCTTATGTATTAAGATGATGTTAGCGTTCTTCCAAGACTCTGGTACTCTTCCCGTCAGGAGACACCTCGTAAACAAGGTGGCTAGTTTTTCTAACACAATCTGTCCTCCATCTTTCAGCAGATCTGATGTTACCTGATCCTCACCAGCAGCTTTGCCTCTTTGCATGCTCTCCAAAGCTTTTTTGACTTCTTCTATCATTACTGGTGGGGTGTCATCTGGGTTACTGCTAGTTCTTATAGTATTAAAGTCGTGGTTTGTCCCGGCTACTGTACAGATCTCTGTAAAACTCCTCCGCTATTTTAACTATCCTATCCATATTGGTAGTTATATTGCCTTCTTTGTCCCTTAGTGCATACATCCGATTTTTGCCTATCCCAAGTTTCCTCTTCACTGCTTTGAAGCTTCCTCCGTTTTTCAGAGCGTGTTCAATTCTCTCCATGTTATACTTTCTTACATCGGATACCTTACGCCTATTAATCAACTTCGAAAGCTCTGCCAGTTCTTTTTTGTCTGTTGTACTTGAGACTTTCATGATTTGACGCTTCTTAATGAGATTCTTCGTTTCCTGGGTAAGCTTGCCAGTGTCCTGTCTAACTACCCTGCCTCCAACTTCCACTGCACACTCCTTAATGATACTCGTCAGGTTATCATTCATTGTATCTATGCTAAGGTTGGTTTCCTCACTAAGAGCCGAGTACCTGTTCTGAAGGGAGACTCTGATTTCCTGTACTTTCCCTCTCAGTGCTAGCT